TGTGGGGGTGGGCTTTGAGGTCTCTTTCTTAAGCTTCACTCAATGTGACAGTCGACTTCCTATTGCCTCTGAGTCAAGATGTAGCACTCTCAGCTCCAGCACCGTGTCTGCCTGCAGGCAGCCATGCTCTCCGTCATGATGATAATGGACTGAACCTCTGAAACTGTAAGCAAACCAGCCCAATGAAATGTTTTCTTGACAAGCATTGCCATGGTCATGGTGTCTCTTCACAGCAATAAAAACTCTAACTGAGGCGAAGACAATGCGTTTGTTTTGTTTAAAGCTGTTGGTGATGATTACAGCAGCCACAGAACACCAGAACCGGTAGGAATCCGCGTGGCATCAGGCCACACCATGCTTCTAGAAGCCCACAGAACTGCCTCTCTGGTCCCTGACTTCTCACCTTATTTCTATTTCAAAAGTAGCAGAGAGGCTGGAGAGGTGGCTCAGTAGTTAAAAGCACTGGCTGCTCTTCTAGAGGCCCCCAGTTCGGTTCCCAGCACCCACATGCTGGCTCACAACTGTCTGTAACTCCAGTGCCAGGGGATCTGGTGTCCTCTTTTGGCCTCTGTGGGCACCAAGAATGCACATGGCGCAGAGATATACACGCAGGCACATACAAATTAATAAAAAATAAAATTAATTAAAAAAACTGCCAAGAGTGGGCCAGCAAGATGGCACAGTGGGTAAGGGTGCTTGCCTCTAGGCCTGACGACCGGGGTTCAATCCCAGGACACCCCATCATGAAAGGAGAGATCAGTTCCTCCTGCCAGCTGTCTTCTGACCTCCCCCCATCTGTGCATCATGGCATACACATATGCACACATGTGTCCATGCATACACACACATAAAAGTCTTTTTTAAAAGAGAATAAAATGAAAAGAGTCAAGTCTGGCTATTCCTTCTCTGGAGCTCTTCCCACTCGGGAATTCTTTCTCATTTTTCTGTCTTATTTCTCTCCATCGGCTTGCGGCGTTTGTCTCAAGACTGACCTCCAACGCCCATTTGCCGTGAAGGTGCCGCGAGCGAAGTCTGGGGCAGCTTCCAAAACATATTCAGCACACGTATTTTAATTCCTCTGATGTCTGCTTCCCTCCAGACTTAAAGAGGGGAAGGGCCCTGTGCATCACTGCCTGTCCCCACCAGCTAATACGTGACGAGAGGATACCCGAATAAATGAAGGATGGTTTTCTTTACAGTTCTCCAGGCTTGTGGGCACAAGGTAAAGGGGACAAATCCTAAGTGTGTCATGGATACGGGGCTGGAAGAGAAAAATGTCCTCGGAATTTTGCTTTTTGGAATGGAATGGCGGGGTAGGGGGATGGGTCACACTCAGGTCACAAAAGCAGGGGTTGTTGGCTGGTGGCTGGCTGGCGATGACCTCAGCGCTTGGCATCAGATACACTCAGGCATTTCCTGAGAGCTGTGTACAAGCTTCTTGGTTCCCTGGCCTACAGTGGCTGCACCCTGCTCTCCAGCGCCGCCTAGAGACCCTTCCGGGTCACAGCCGCTCTGAAGGCTATGGCTAGCCCAGGACTCAGCTCCCTGCAGCCCGGGTGGATCCTCCCTCCCCGGACTCCCCCGGGACACCTTCCCGAAAGTGCTCAGCTGTCTCACGGCCCTGGGGACACAGCGCTGGCCTCCCAGGGGAAGACGTGCTTCCACTAAACATCTCTGAGCTCAGAGGGCAAATCAATTCAGGAACAGTCCTCGGTCATTTTTCTCTGGTTGGAACATGGCTTAGCCCCTAAAACTAAAATACTATAAAATGTAGTTTAGTCTCATATCATGGTCATTTCAAGAGGAAAAAGCTCGAGGGGGGGGCGGGGGAGGAAGGGGGGGAGAGAGAGGGAGAGAAACAGAGAGAGAGAGAGAGAGAGAGAGAGAGAGAGAGAGAGAGAGAGAGAGAGAAGACGAGAAGTAAAGAGAAAGGAAGGCCAAGAAAACCAGGAGGAAGGAGGGAGAGGGGTGAGGCAGGGGAGGGGTCGCCCACCCACCACATTCCGGGACTCAGTAGCAGCTCCCCTCCCCACTCCTCCGCACTCCGGCACAGTTAGCAACTGTAGGTAAATTCAGGGAGACAGAAGTTCATCTGTCCATCACAGCTGCAGAGGATTCAAAAGCCAGAGGAAGCAGAAATCCTGCGGCTGAGGCTCGGGGACGCAAGGGTAAGAGAGCGGAGCAGAAACACCAACTGGGACCATCCAGGGAGGTGTGGATCCCCTCCATCTCCATAGGGCGCGGCGTTGCTCAAATCGGAAAGCCTTGACTTCCCTCCCTCTCTTGTTCTCTATCACTATGGACTCTGCCCCTAGATAGACCTATTCCTTATATTTTTTTATTTAATCACATATATTTATCTGTCTTTCGCTTCCTTAGATTGTTAGCTCAATATTTTGTAGTGTCTAAATTGCCTATTCAATGCTTCATTTCAACTTAGCATCATTTTTCATCCTTATTCAATATTTCATTATCTAAGACTAGATTCCTGACTTTGTGGTTTGCTTTTGTTGAAATGAGGCAATGTCCTTGGAATCCTGTTGACCAAGCAAAGTAAATATCTTGGAACCTTTTCAATTGTAGAAGAAGGCATCGTAGCCAAACCTTCAGATATGTGTTCTCCTTTGTGTCCGTGGGTTCTCCTTAAGAATCCTTTTGCCTGGTGGTGGTGGCCCACGCTTTTTAATTCCAGCTCTCAGGAGGCAGAGGCAGGTGGATCTCTTGTGAGATCAAGGCCAGCTTGGTCTACAGAGAGAGTTCCAGGGCAGCCAGGGCTACAAAGAGAAACCCTGTTTCTAAAACAAACAAACCTCTCCTGAGTGTATACCCTTCCACAGAAGGAGCTACAGTCTCCTAGTGTAATAAATATGTTTTATTGATCACAACTGACTGCCTTCACACCAGACATTATATATATTCAAGGCAGAAAGACGATAAAAGGGATATTATGCCAACAGTGTCTATCTCCCCACCCCCCACCCCCAGGACAGCATGGAGTTTCTCAGAAGCCTTCCAGGAAACCTCTAGTGTTTCAAACGGTTCCGGGGATATCCCTGGCTATACAGGAGGCTGACAAATGCTTAGTTCTTTCATAGGCAAGAAAGGAAAAAAAAGCCTAGGCTACCCCAAAGTTTCTCCTCAGCTCGGCATCTCCCAGGGAGGAGGGACCCAGACAATGAGCCTCCACTCTTAATGGCCTTCTCCAGCCCAGTTCTTACAACATTAAGATGTTGCAAAGTCCCTCCAGTTTGCGGCACAAAAGCTGCACCCAGCCTTAGCCGCTCATGTAGGGGACCGCCCCCCCCCCAGTTTGTTTATTTGCTTGAATGTTTGGTTGAGAATTAGCAAGCAGGAAGGAGCTGAGCTGGCTCTAAGTTGACTGTAACCTTGACAGGCAACTGTGGGATGAGCCAGTAGTTTCTCCTGGGGGAGGGATTCAGCATGGGGGGGGGCGAGCCTCAGGGGGAAGAAAGGAAGAGCCAGAGGGAAAAAGAAAGCATCCAGTGGCTAGGTCATTAACGTGATGGACGAGGAGGCTCTGTCGCCATCAGTTTTCCTCTTGGGTTTGAGGATTCTCCACCTCTTCTCTCCTTGCCAAGATGTTTTTTTTCTGCTTCTAGCATCCTCCTTTATTTATTTGATTTTTTTTCTTAATCTCTGTAATAGATAATACATTTTAATCTCTCTGTCTCTCTGTCTCTGTTTATCTGTCTGTGTGTGTGTGTGTTTTGAGACAGGGTTTCTCTGTTTAACCCTGGCTGTCTTGGAACTTGCTCTGTAGACCAGGCTGGCCTCGAACTCACCGAGATCCTCCTGCCTCTGCTTCCTGAGTGCTGGGATTAAAGGCGTGTGTCACCACTGCGTGGCTAATCTCTCCCTTTTGTAAAGACTCTGTTTCCATCCAATAAAAAAGGAAAATTTAAGGATGACATGACTTGCCTGCCTGTATCTCCCAGGTATTGAGATTACAGGGGTGCATTACCACACCTAGCTAGGAAAACCATTCCACTTCATGAAATTCTAAGCAGAAATTTCTCTATGGACTTGCAATCCCAAATTAGAAAGGAAAAGGTATTTCTTTTTGAGGTTATCCTGGGCTACAGAGTAAGTTTCAGAGCTACATAGTGAAGAAAAAGAAAAAAAAAAGAAAAGAAGAAGAAGATATACTTTCTTGGAAAAAAAAAAATCTCAAGGACCGAAGGAGCATGGAATAGAGCAGAGTGGGAGCTGGGGGGGAAGCAGGGGTGAGGTCACCTCAAGGAACAGGTCCTGCCACTGTAGTCCTCTTTGGCCTGACTGGGGAGCAGAGCTGTCTTCTAAGCATTGAGGAGGTACAGAGATAGCCTTTCTTCTGACCACCATAATTTCAGGGAAAGTAAAATGACCCGTCGTGCCCCGCGAAGAACCCCACGGGGCAATCCGAGCCTACCTGGGGGAGGAACACACAGCAGTTCACGGTGGTTGTGCAAACGAAGATCCCTCCAGATGTGAATCCAAAGACTAGATTGGGCCAGGAGTGCAAGTATCTGGTGAGCACGAAAATTAGCCCGGCGGTGAGTAACAGGAGGTTGACTCCGACCATGATGGTCAAGGATTGGTTCACTGGAGGAGAGCTGACATGGTTGGTGAGGCCAGCCAGGTAAGCGCCATACAGCAGCAGCAGCCCCTGCAGGAGGAGCAGGGACCAGAGACACAGAGAAGGGGACCACAGGTCAGAGCGGCAGGGTTGGGGGCCAGTGTCCTCACCGGTAATGCTGGGCTGTGAGCTTCCACTAAGATGCGACACAAGAAACCAGGAGATGAATCCTTATACCTTTGGGCTCTGAATGCTTCTTCTGTCCTTCACTGAGAACGAGTTTCTCGGAGATGGGCAAGCAAGTCATCAGATAATACAACATTCTTCTGGGAGAAGGCACAGAGCCTTTGATAGGGGTGGATGGGTGTCCCTCAGACAGGGCAGTGGGGACCAGGAAGAGGAGAGCCTGCTCCTGCTGGTGTGTGTGTGTGTGTGTGTGTGTGTGTGTGTGTGTGTGTGTGTGTGTCACATGGGAACTGAAAGGGACCTGTGGTCCGCTTGTCCAGCCCTGTGCTACGGTAGCAGGGCAGTGCCAGCGGGGAGAGGATTATTATTTGTTTTCCCAGGGAGCTCAAAGGCACCATCTGCTTGCCAGGCTCTGCACCTGCAGGACTGCCTGGGCTGGCCCGGGAAGAACGCTGTTTTCTGTTCCACACAAAGGAACGCCAGAGGCTGCCCGGGGCTCTGTGCAGTGGGGGTCCTTGGGAGATGAAAGATGGAAAACGAGGGGAACAAAGGTAGGCTGGGACCCCAGCAAGGGTGAGGGGAGGCAGAGGCAGCAGGTGCTGCATCTGAACTGCTTTGCGACATCCCGCACCACTCCCCCCGCCCCCGCCCCGCCTCCACCAACACGGAACTGGGGCCCAGCTCTTTCCCTCTCTTCACAAACATGAACCTGTCCTCCCGGTTCTCGTTTGTCCTGGGGAGAAAATGGCATGGTACCCGACAGTACTGCTTTCCCCAGAGGCAGCTGCGCACATCCGGATGTCAAAGCTTTCGTCGGCAACGCTCCGTGTCCATTTTCTGTACACACTAGTCTTTCTGACTTGCTCCAAGTACAACACTACAAACCATTGCTACCAAGGACATTCACAGCCCTGCATGATGGGCGACCAGGCATCCCAGCACTGGTGAGGCTGAGGCAGGAGGATTGCCGTGAGTTTTCAGGACAATTTGGGCCATGCGGTGAGACTCTGACTCAAAAGAACAATAGCAGTAACTACATGAGGGCAGCGATAGCAGTCGAGGGCTTGGCTGGTAGGGAGAGGAGAGGAGAGCAAGCCATGCCCTGTTCGTAACTGGAATGTGGAGATGCCATCGGGTATGAGGTGAGGCTGAGCCAAGGAAAGTCAGGCCAGGTGTCCTGTTGACTCTGAGATCACGTGACCTGGCCCACTCCACCTGCAGGCATGGCTCTAAGGGGTGACTTTGGAAGCTTTGGCTCTATTAGAGGGGAAGGAGGTACTCCTGACACCCAACGTCCCAAATGGGGGTACAGGGCCAAACCCAGTCACTGTCGGATCTTCACTGAGTAGATGGATACAAGTAAGAGGCCCGTGGGGCCTGACTCCTGGGTAACTGATGCCATTGAGTGGCATTCAGCAGTTGTATCATTATTCATTTTACCGAAGGTGACTAAAATGAACTCTGTGATTCTGAAATGTTAGCTATGATCTTAACAAAACCGCTTCATTCCACTAATATTCTTGCTAAAAAGGGAAACAGGTGTGAGTCAAAGCCACTGTACCCATGGCTACTATTTGAGGGTGCTGCACCTGATCCTTGACTGTCATCTGCCATTAGTCAGCAAGCATGGGGGTGGGGCTAGCCCTCCCCAGGAGCTCCTTGCTGGCAGGGGCCCCCCCATAGGCATGGCTCAGGCAGTTACTCTTTCTCCATATCTTGTAGAATAGTGGGGTGGTGAGAAGTGAGATGGGAATGTGCAGAAAGCCATGGAGGAGATGTATGAAGACAGGGTTGGGGTGGAGAGGTGAAGTGGAGGGGATCCAAGAACGGAGATGACCCGAGTGCTTCAGAACTGCCCAGGACCAGAGGAAGAACAAGAGTAACAGGATGGAATATTCTGGAGCCCTGGCCAAGGGCAGGGGTGGCTGGAAACTCTCGTGTGTGAATTCTAAGCAGCTGAGAGCACTCTAAAGGGGCTGTCATCATTGTCCCCAGTCTTGGGGGTTATGGCTCTGGGAGGTTAGGTAAGGTTAGGGTTCATCTAGGAAGGGGTCAGGGCTTCAGCTAGTTCAGCGTCATTCTGTAGCATTCAGAGGTTCGGTTCCTAACCATTTCCAGGATACAAGCGAGTGATGGCTGTTTGCCTCCTGGATTCTTAAAAACAACAAACAAACAAACAAACAAACAAACAAACAAACAAAACCTCCTAAACCAGTTACAATGGCTCATGTTATGAGTTCAAGGCCAGCCTGGCTGGTACAGCCAATGAGGGTTACATAGCAAGACCATCAACCAACCAACAATCAAAACTCCTCCCCTAGAACCTCCCCCACACACACAACAGAAAAGCAGATCATAATATGAGAGAAACAGAATTCCCAGTGATTTGTCGGTAGACTGAACGAAGGCGCATGAGGAGTTATAAAAGTGCCCCTCCAAATGTAAACAGTGGAGAAATAAATGGTTCACAGCGTTGGGACTTCCGCATGAGCCCAGGCTGGCTGTGAGCTCACCATTCTCTGTCATCACTACCCATGAATAAATCTCATCAATTCCCTAACTCTCTTCCCAAAAACATTTTGTTGGAGACGGACTGTAACCTGTGGAGATGTGGTTACTAACCTTGCATCCCAAAACCAGAGCAATCCAGACATCGGAGTACCGCGAAGCACAGAAGTGTGTGTTGGTCAGAGAGCAGGACACGTCTCTCCCTGTCACCTGTGAGGGACACAGGGTCAGAACCAAGGGCATTCGAATTCCTGGGACGGACCACACAGCAGAGCTCTGTGATCTTCCTGGAGTGTGAACTCCTCCGTAGCACAGAATTTCTCCTCTTAGTGTGTAAAAATGGAAAAAATGTAGAAAAATTTAAGTTCTGTTAGAACCTAAACTGAAGTGCCTAAGCAGATAGGAAGGGAAAGAAAGGCG